GTAACAGTGACCCCCCTATAGGTAAGCAGCACCGTAACAGTGACCCCCCCTAATACAACCTAAATTAACCTACCTCAACCCAGCACCAAAACCCAACCCAACCCAACCCAACCCAACCCAACCCAACCCAACCCAACCCAAGACTCTTATCATACTTTTTACAACAATGAGACTGACGGACGCCACCACCAACACTCTCCCCAGTACCACCAGAATATCCGTAATACCAGCAATACTAAATCTGAGATCTTACACCTAAATACCTGTTGCACCTGCTGACTCTACCCCCCAAACACCTGCTGACCCCACCTCAGTTATCAGTTGATCCCTAACACCAAACACCAGCAAACTGATTCCCACCCCACAAACATCAGCAGCTGACTTCCAGCCATGAACACCAGCAGCTGACCCCCCCCCCCCCGCCCCCTAACACCACCAGCTGACCCCCCCCCCGCCCCCTAACACCACCAGCTGACCCCCTAACACCAGCAGCTGACCCCCCTAACACCAGCAGCTGACCCCCCTAACACCAGCAGCTGACCCCAACACCACGTCAAGCGGAGGAAGACACACGCAGCAGCCCCTGACAAGAGTGTGTGTGTGGGTGGTGCGAGGGGTATCGAGACACATCTGGACCTTGAGGTGCAGTATGGTAATACAGCGGTAACACACTAATGAGAGTGACAGCCATGGCAGGTGGCAGCGGTGGAAGGCTCCCCGGCTGGTCCTCACACCAGGGACCTGCTCCTGGACAATGGTTTAGCGAAGCTCGCGTCTAGAATCAACAATGAGCCTCATATATGTACTCTCTCTCTCTCTCTCTCTCTCTCTCTCTCTCTCTCTCTCTCTGGACCAAAAGCAAAAGTTCCTCTTTGTTCTGATTGTGCTGTGTACACTTGTTTGTTTTCGCTATACAAAATTGATATAACTATTTTCAATCATTTTATTTTATGTTTATGTACGATTTGTTTTTTTTTCATTTGCGTATATGTAAGAATTCGTATATCGTATTTTTTCCGGTGCTCTGGTGGTGGTGGTGGGAGGCAGTGGTGGTCCCGTCGTACTGTCAGGGATTCTTCTTGTGCCTCGAGGTACAGGCGGATATACTATATTGATGTTGACCAGACCACACACTAGAAGGTGTAGGGACGACGACGTTTCGGTCCGTCCTGGACCATTCTCAAGTCGATTGTGACTTGAGAATGGTCCAGGACGGACCGAAACGTCGTCGTCCCTTCACCTTAAAGTGTGTGGTCTGCTCAACATACTTTAGCCACGTTATTGTGACTCATCGCCTGCATAGGAATATCCTATGGTTTTCTTCCCGGCCTCGAGAGTCCCTGATACTTACCTATGAGTGTCTAAGGAGAAGTGAAAGTCTAGCTCTGTATATGCCCCCTCCGCCTTCTAGCCCTTCTTGTACCTGTTGCGTTACTCTTTTTAAGTATTGTGACGTTCAAATTATTGATCAAATCTGGCCTGAAATGTATATGGGGTGGAGGTGGCTTCCACAACTTGTTCTTTCAGTGCATTTCGCTTATTGATTATCCGTAGAAGATACGAGTCGATTAAGGCAGTGTCTGGGATGCTTCCGGACGCAGGTTCGAATCTTCGTCACGGCCCTTGTGGATTTGTTCAAGGTACGAGCAGTTTTTTTAACATTCATTCGGCTCATTTGCGATTCTACCTTTTCCACCTGTGTCCTCCTCGTCCTTATTTCTGTGGAATGTTGGCTGCCTTTCATGTTAATTAAGATACATAGTTTTGTCGAGAGAGCTTTGTATAGTTCTGCTCGGTTTGTGGATGATATAGTCATCATGTATCATGAATATGCGGTCAAATCTATGTTGCGGTTCTGGTTCATATTTATAGCTTCAAGTTTCTGTGACTGCCTCGTGAGCTCGTTGACTTGATTGCTAGTTTCGGGGTATTAATGTTTTCTGGGCGGCAAAATTATTTTTATCTGTGTCGGTAAGATTTGACCACTTTGTTTACACTAGTTCCGTGTGTCTGAGTGGCCAGTCCGTGTGTCTGAGTGACCAGTCCGTGTGTCTGAGTGGCCAGTCCGTGTGTCTGAGTGGCCAGTCCGTGTGTCTGAGTGGCCAGTCCGTGTGTCTGAGTGACCAGTCCGTGTGTCTGAGTGGCCAGTCCGTGTGTCTGAGTGGCCAGTCCGTGTGTCTGAGTGACCAGTCCGTGTGTCTGAGTGGCCAGTCCGTGTGTCTGAGTGGCCAGTCCGTGTGTTGAGTGGCCAGTCCGTGTGTCTGAGTGGCCAGTCCGTGTGTCTCAGTGACCAGTCCGTGTGTCTGAGTGGCCAGTCCGTGTGTCTGAGTGGCCAGTCCGTGTGTCTGAGTGACCAGTCCGTGTGTCTGAGTGACCAGTCCGTGTGTCTGAGTGACCAGTCCGTGTGTCTGAGTGACCAGTCCGTGTGTCTGAGTGGCCAGTCCGTGTGTCTGAGTGACCAGTCCGTGTGTCTGAGTGACCACTCCGTGTGTCTGAGTGGCCAGTCCGTGTGTCTGAGTGGCCAGTCCACTCCAGCTGCTCCACAACAGATGATCTCTTGGCATCTGCCCCCTTGAAAATGTTTGTAAATATATAGCAAACCTCTGTACTTTTCAGTTTTGGCTTTATGCTTAACAAGGAGGTGAATTCCAGGCCGGTACTTACCTAGAACATCAACCCGTCCTCGACTCAAGTCCATTACATCCAGCGGTCGACCCCACAGACACATTCACATATTTTTACATGCTGTTCATCCAAAACGGGAATTTTCTCATATATAAATTAATATTATAATATATTAGCATATTGTGCATATATAGGCATAGGTTAGGTGTTTAGGTTCTGTTGGCGATTATTTGTATTTGTAGTATGTGGGTGAAGCATTTACAGTGTTGTGGTTCGAACAGAATTTCATCAGTGAAGCACTTGTTCCGGAAGTGTTCGAACGTCAACAGTTGTGAGTCGTGTGTAAACTGTTTTTAATTCATAAACAGGGGGTTTGGCGGGTGCATGGAATCACTTTTGGGTCTTTGTTTGAAGGACTAGCTGGGAGCTTACCTGGAGAGGATTTCGGGAGTTCTTCAACTCCCCGAGGTCACAAGTCGAGCCCAGGTTCGACTTGTGATAACTTGGTGCAACAGGCTGTACTAAATATTCCAGTAATGGTCTAAGAAAGGTTGTGTAGATTACCTTGAAGGAGGTTACCTTGCCTTACCTTGGAGCCCTGATTTAGGTTTATAAAGGACGATCTAAGTTTTGGCAGAGTCCCGTATGATGTCTACATTACCCTGTTTATGTGTGCCTCCGATGTTGGAATTGTGTCCACTGGTGGTGGTGGTGATGGTGGTGGTGAGTGGTGGTGGTGGTTTGTGGTGAGTGGTGGTGATGGTTCAGTGATAGGGAAAGAGGGTTGATTGGTGAGGGTGATGGCAGTCATTCTGTAGTAGCAGCCGTGGTGGTGGAGGTGGTGGTGGGGGAATTGGTGGTGATGGTAGGGGTGGTGGTGGTGCTGACAGGGGGTGTGGGTGTTGTTGGTAGGGGTGGTGGTAGTGTAGGTAGGGGGGTGGTAATGGTGTTGGTAGGGGTGGTGGGGAGTCAATACCTCGGACCGCTAAACAGTCATGCAATGGGGGGTGGTGAGAGACAAATGCTCACGCAACATGAGGACTCCCAGGCACTTTCTGGGGGAGCCACCCCCCAGAAGAAGCAGACTGGTGAGATACTAACTATCTCTGCGGTGCCACCTCCAGCAGACGTAGAGGGTAACAACTCTACTGTTAACATATTTATGTGAGCATATATTTCCTTATATCAGTTTGATAGCCGGTAAGACCCCCCCCCCCCCTACATGATATACTCGAAGTATATTATTTTCAAGGTCTTTCATTTATGCATGCTTCACTCGTCTGTAGTGTGAGCTGTGTGCAAGCACTCCACGTAGACAGTATCCAAGTAAAGTAAGATAGTTAACCGAGTCCTCAGGGAACAGTAGACCGGGGTCTGACGGGCTACGTGAGGACGGGGCTGGCTTCTATAAATATAGAGGTTTTCGCTTCCAGTGTATAGAGGCGATGAGCGATTTAGAAAAGTTTGCCATGTTGAGGAGTGGGTGAGAGGGTTCAACTTTGACCTTGTTTTGCTTCCTACTATTCGCATGTACATACATATATACATACATATATACATACATATATGCATACATACTGACAGAGACTCCATACACAGTTTCAAATGTTGATATGAGAGCCCAATAAGCTTGGGAATCTGTACACCAGTTGATTGATAGTTGAGAGCCCGGGCGTGTTCTGTACTGCTGGCGAAGAGCGCATTCTTGTGGCTCGCTATACTTCCACAAACACGGTTGGCTCACCATCGTGGATCCCCCGAGCGGAGGCAAAAATGGTTGGGCACATTGCCTTTCGCCTTATGCCCTGTACCTGAATGGGGTTCTGGGAGTTCTTCTACAGCCCCAAGCCCCCCAGCCTTAGAGCCAGGCTTGACGTGTGAGAACTTGGTCCAACAGGCTGTTGTTTGGAGCGGTCCGCAGGCCCAAATATGCACGATATGATTTCTTACTTTGAAGGATTTAGGAGTCCAAACATCTCTCGCTCAGATCTCGCTAAGGTCAACATGTTTGTGACTTCAGCAGCCATGTTGAACTGGAAAGTTGCAAAAAGATCCACCAGTTGGACTCAAACTAATCCTTCCTCGGGAGACATCTCCCGTCACGCAGGGTGCAGTCGCACCTCCACAGATCTCCAGTATCATCTATTGATACTGGTAATGGCTCAAAAGGGCCACCACTTACGGGCTATTCATGTCCGTGCCACCTTTTTGGGTGGCTTAATCTTTATCAATCAATCAATCCTTCCTCCCCAAACATTAGTGTCGATTCTTTACCAGATCCCGCTCTATGCATGAATGTGTGTTTGTTTATGCTGGTAAGATGTTATTGTTTGGGATATTCTTGGTAGCAATAACCATCGTTATGTTATTCTCAGGCCCTGACTTCCCCACGTTCCTGCTGCCCTTCCGCAAGCCCAAGAGGATCCGGACGGCGTTCAGCCCGAGTCAGCTGCTGAAGCTGGAACAAGCCTTCGAGAAGAACCAGTACGTGGTGGGCGCCGAGAGGAAGCAGCTGGCGCAGTCCCTCAACCTCTCAGAAACACAGGTAAATGTCACGACTTGCAGCAGTTGATGTAGTCTCTCAGAGAGAGAGAGAGAGAGGTAAATGTCACGACTTGCAGCAGTTGATGTAGTCTCTCAGAGAGAGAGAGAGAGAGGTAAATGTCACGACTTGCAGCAGTTGATGTAGTCTCTCAGAGAGAGAGGTAAATGTCACGACTTGCAGCAGTTGATGTAGTCTCTCAGCCTCTCAGAGAGAGAGAGAGGTAAATGTCACGACCTCTAGCGACAGACAAAGTGTTACATGTGGTGCTACACTGTCAGTTCGCCTCACTCCATGTACTCACCAGACCTGAAGCCACACACAAAAACTTTAGTACACAAAAGAGGTGCTTTCGTAAAGCGCCGAGTGAACTATTAATTCAGGATTATATATATGATATAACATATATATAACCCAAATATTTGTTTAATTCATTTTATGTTATTTATTTATATATATACAAGAGTTCTTACATTCTTGTACAGCCACTAGCACGCATAGTGTTTCGGACTAAGCCCTTAATCCTAATTTTCACACACACAACCACAGGAAGCAGCTGTCTAACTCCCAGGTACCTATTTACTGCCAGGTGAACAGGTACATCAAGGTGAAAGAAACTGCCCATTTGTTTCCTCCTCCGCCGGGGATCAAACCCAAACCCTTAGGACTACGAATTCCGAGCGCTGTGTACTCAGCCGTCAAGCCCTCGAGAAAACATATATATAACATGTATGACAGTATAATAACCAGCGTCTCTCTCACAGTCTCTACTATAGGACCACTCCCCGGGCCGCCTGTCCAACCAGTTGGGCTGGACGGTAGAGCGACGGTCTCGCTTCATGCAGGTCGGCGTTCAATCCCCGACCGTCCAAGTGGTTGGGCACTATTCCTTCCCTTCGTCCCATCCCAAATCCTTATCCTGATCCCTTCCCAGTACTATATAGTCGTAATGGCTAGGTGCTTTCTCCTGATGGTCCCTCCCTCCTCCCCGGGCCGCCTGCCCAACCCGTCCTCCTAAGATTTCCCAATGTCAGGAAAACGGTCAGTGTAAAGTGCCCTCTCCTAACCTCCCAGAGGACCCAAAACAGAAAACGGGACAGTACGTTACTTTTGCGAACCCGCTTCTATTTTCTAATACGATAATTTTTGGCCTTATGTAACGCATACGAGCGAAATGCGACGTTCTTTGTTGGAGGAGAGGTTGGTCCACTAACTCTTGCGGGGAGCAAATGCGGACTCAGGAATCAATTTACAACGATTCCTGAGTCATGATACAACGGAACAGATCCTCAAGGTTCTAGGAATTATATAGACGTGCTTTTAGGAAACTAATTTGGGAATCATTCCAAACACTGAGCACCTTACGAGGTGGACAAAGACAGCCGGTATCCCACACGCTTGGACGGGCTCACCATAGCCCGTGCTACATGGACACTTCGTTTTGAGGAGCTAAATCTGAAACACCAACCACACGCAGGGTGCAGGTGGACGTTAACAGCACAGTGATTGAGACTGCTAAGAAAGAGAAGGTATGATAGTGCTAGAAGGTCGGGGGGTAATTAACACATCAGAACGTGAGAACGTGAACTCAAGCCCCGCACGTTCAAGTACGTTTATTGAGACAATAAAATACGTCTCAGAGGGATAGAGTAGCTTAGGCTATTTCTACCCCTCCTCTATTTTAAGTCCCTCAAGGGGCGCACAAATCCAGTGAGAACAAATCCACAAATCCGGCCCGCAAGAACGAGCAAATGCGGATTGCGAACTGCGAACGCTTGCTGCGAACGAGCACGAGCACAGCAGCAAAACTCGACACAGATACACACACATTCTGCACCTCCCCCGAGCAAATATTTTTTACCTCCTTCCACAAAGCATTCACCAGCCTCTCCCCTCTCCCCACAGCAGTTTTTTCCCCTTCCCATTTGATTGAACAGACTTACAAATATCTCCATGTTTTAGCTCCGCGGGACAGTTCGCCCCCCCACTATCTGACACTCGCTCTGAAACTATATCGTTTCTTACGCTCCATTTTCTCCCCCCGGTACTGTAATTTGGGCTCTGTAGTGCTGCTTACAGGCACACACACACACACACACAATACTGAGCGGGGCGTTGCGTGTGTTTCCCCTTCACCTTCCCTTGTGATAAAAGTCTTTGAGTTGTGTTAGTTTCCCCTCCTGCTGGAAATGCATTCCGGATCCTTCAAGGGGTATTTCACCGTCAGGCAAATCTCCTGTAGATAATTATCGAGTCATTTCGCGTCTGGCTTTCTCGTTTTCCCCTCACCCACCCGTTTCTTTCCCCTCTTGATACACTGTATGGTACCTGTCCTGCCCCGTCCCGTACGTGTTATGTCTGTCCTGCCCCGTCCCGTACGTGTTATATCTGTCCTGCCCCGTCATGTACGTGTTATATCTGTCCTGCCCTGTCCCGTACGTGTTATATCTGTCATGCCCCGTCCCGTACGTGTTATATCTGTCCTGCCCCGTCATGTACGTGTTATATCTGTCATGCCCCGTCCCGTACGTGTTATGTCTGTCCTGCCCCGTCCCGTACGTGTTATATCTGTCCTGCCCCGTCATGTACGTGTTATATCTGTCCTGCCCTGTCCCGTACGTGTTATATCTGTCATGCCCCGTCCCGTACGTGTTATATCTGTCCTGCCCCGTCATGTACGTGTTATATCTGTCATGCCCCGTCCCGTACGTGTTATATCTGTCCTGCCCCGTCCCGTACGTGTTATATCTGTCCTGCCCCGTCCTGTACGTGTTATATCTGTCCTGCCCCGTCCTGTACGTGTTATGTCTGTCCTGCCCCGTCCCGTACGTGTTATATCTGTCCTGCCCCGTCATGTACGTGTTATGTCTGTCCTGCCCCGTCCTGTACGTGTTATATCTGTCCTGCCCCGTCCTGTACGTGTTATGTCTGTCCTGCCCCGTCCCGTACGTGTTATGTCTGTCCTGCCCCGTCCTGTACGTGTTATGTCTGTCCTGCCCCGTCCCGTACGTGTTATATCTGTCCTGCCCCGTCCCGTACGTGTTATATCTGTCCTGCCCCGTCCTGTACGTGTTATATCTGTCCTGCCCCGTCCTGTACGTGTTATGTCTGTCCTGCCCCGTCCCGTACGTGTTATGTCTGTCCTGCCCCGTCCTGTACGTGTTATGTCTGTCCTGCCCCGTCCCGTACGTGTTATATCTGTCCTGCCCCGTCCCGTACGTGTTATATCTGTCCTGCCCCGTCCTGTACGTGTTATGTCTGTCCTGCCCCGTCCCGTACGTGTTATATCTGTCCTGCCCCGTCATGTACGTGTTATATCTGTCATGCCCCGTCCCGTACGTGTTATATCTGTCCTGCCCCGTCCCGTACGTGTTATCTCTGTCCTGCCCCGTCCTGTACGTGTTATATCTGTCCTGCCCCGTCCTGTACGTGTTATGTCTGTCCTGCCCCGTCCCGTACGTGTTATATCTGTCCTGCCCCGTCATGTACGTGTTATGTCTGTCCTGCCCCGTCCTGTACGTGTTATATCTGTCCTGCCCCGTCCTGTACGTGTTATGTCTGTCCTGCCCCGTCCCGTACGTGTTATGTCTGTCCTGCCCCGTCCTGTACGTGTTATGTCTGTCCTGCCCCGTCCCGTACGTGTTATATCTGTCCTGCCCCGTCCCGTACGTGTTATATCTGTCCTGCCCCGTCCTGTACGTGTTATATCTGTCCTGCCCCGTCCTGTACGTGTTATGTCTGTCCTGCCCCGTCCCGTACGTGTTATGTCTGTCCTGCCCCGTCCTGTACGTGTTATGTCTGTCCTGCCCCGTCCCGTACGTGTTATATCTGTCCTGCCCCGTCCCGTACGTGTTATATCTGTCCTGCCCCGTCCTGTACGTGTTATGTCTGTCCTGCCCCGTCCCGTACGTGTTATATCTGTCCTGCCCCGTCATGTACGTGTTATATCTGTCATGCCCCGTCCCGTACGTGTTATACCTGACTTAACCCCGTCCCGTACGTGTTAACTGTACTCGCCTAATTGTGCTGGCGGGGGTTGAGCTTCGGCTCTTAGGTCCCGCCTCTCAACTGGTGTACAGATTCCTGAGCCTACTGGGCTCCAGCATATCAACATGTTCAGTGTAGCGTGTTCAGTGTAGCGTGTTCAGTGTAGCGTGTTCAGTGTAGCGTGTTCAGTGTAGCGTGTTCCATGTCATCAGTGGCTGGACGCGTGCAATAATGTAGAATATATGAGGACTTGTGGCAATACCCGCCCCGTCACGAAGGCCTACACGGTCGAGGTTCTTGTTAGTCTAGAAGCAAGTCCGCCCTTAAAGGCTGCTAAGGATAGCATTCCCCTCTCCCTCTTCACCCCACACACACACAGGGACACAGGGGTGTGTAGGGTGCTATTTGGGATCACTCCGTAAAGTCGGAAGTCCGGGGATGTTGATCCCGCAAAACACCCATATTAGCCGAGGTCAATGTGTGACCCCTTCGCAAGGCAATTTTCTTGCGGTGAGTTCCTCGGTTCCTTCATAACCTTTGCTTTGCAAGGTTGAGAAACAGCTTCATCCACTTCGTACAGCTTCATCCACTGGCGCAGACGGTCATTAGGCTGGAGGGACACCATACACACTCCTGGGGCTGGAGGCACTCCTTCAACGAGGATACAAGCACAATGGTATATTCCAGCTTCCTTTAATGTGCACACAATACCCCCCCGTACTTGTTAGAAGCAAGTGAAGACGCTTTCATTGAGCAGGTCGACCTGTTCTTCCTGCGCCGTGATCAAGGCTTGACGGTGGCTGCACCCGTGAGGGAGAAGGAGCCTGGGGGGTTCTTCAGGAGTAAGACCTGTAGGCCCGGAGTCCTACAGGAGACCCCTTGGGACGCTTCACTACACCAGCCTGAAGGAGGAGCTTCACTACACCAGCCTGAAGCCGGACCAACCGGGCTGTGGTGGACATGTGGGCCTGCGGGCCACTCCAAGCAACAGCCTAGTGGACCAAGCTCTCACAAGT